TACTTCCTCACAGGAAAGCACAAAAAGAAAGCTGTAAGAACCAGATGGCCCCACAAATATTAGGGCATGCAAGGCTTTAAAAATAACAGATTGGCTCCTGCCCTTGAAAACAGCCATGCACCATTGCTATATACATGTGCTCTATTAATAATAGTATTATTTCGATTTATAGCCTATCTTTCTGCTTGGGAACACTCATTCCAAATTCACATGAGGTTGTTGGTAACTTCCTTGCATTTTGCCTTCATGTGTAATTACAAAAATTTAAATTGCATCCAGAAACAAAAAAAATTGTCTTTGAATACTGTATACATATAGAAAAGAGATTCAGGATATTACTAATGTATTAACTATATTTTAAAATAATAATAAATGAATTTTCAGCCAATCACTCTCAATAAAGCTTATGATGAAGGCAAATTGTAAGAATTTTCCATTAAATAAATTGGCAGACCAATCTTATCTGGATGGACTCAGAAGGAATCCCAGCTAGATTCCTCAGAAATTGCTGTCTACATAAGGCTGAACAGGTTACAGACCTGAATAATAAAATTCCGAAGGTTCTTTTTGTGTAGGGGGGGTTTAGAAGTGGGCTCCTCCCATTCCCACATCCTTCAAGCCAGCTTTATCCCAATGGAATACTTCCAACCTCTTGCAAAGCTCCGGTGACCAGGATGGTTGGAAATGATGAGCATAACTGGAAGGGCAATTACTCTAAATGTTTCACCTTATGCCTTTCCTCTTTCTCAGTTATCCTTCCTAAAACATTTATATATTTTGTTTTTGGAAATATACTAGGGAGCAGATTATAACTTTCACTGTGGCAAATATATTTCAAACATATGCACACTATTAAAAAAAATGCTAACTTTGAAATGGAAAATGCAGGGTTTGGGATTTTAAAAGTCTAAATCCAAAGTCTAAAACTCGGACTCTTGGTGAGAACAGTTCATTAGGAATTTAGTTGTGCCGATTGTCTATCATGCAGGCTCAAAATTCGGATAGCCATTTACTTTCCTGCATGTTGTTTTTATAGATCTGTTTCCACAACCTGTGCATTTTTATTCCCTACACAACCTTACATGCCAAGTTAATTTAGAACATATGTAACACTGAGGATTGAGTCTTAATTCACACACACAAACCTACATTCCCTTTACAAATACCCAAGCTCCTTTTCAGGTACATGAGCATGCATTTGAGTGTACAGGGACAATTATACACTCCACTAATAAAGGAACAGCAATTAGTGAAACTCCAGGCTTCCCCCCCCCCACTTTGGTATACTCACACAACCATTATTTCCCATCTGGTTCTTGAACAAAAATAATCTCAGCACAAACATTATTGACAATGGGCATCCATCCATTTAATTGCATGGTCATGCTTTCCCTTATTGTCACTGGTCAAACTGGTTCTCCTCTTGGAATAGGTCACTTGATAAGAGAGAAACTTGATGCTTAGCAGCTGAATGTGTGAACTGTTCATGGGGTGACATTGCATTTCAAATATACAGAAAGCTCATCTGTGGTGGTTATATTTGTTATGGCTTATTCACACATTAAGGTTACTGCCTTGCTGATGCTGAGACATCAAGCATTATATAAGCATACATTAAAAGAAACCACTCCTAAAAGTAGCATAGTCCTTTGGTTGCAAGGGTTAGAAAACCCTTTCCCTAATTCTCAAAACAACAGAGCTGCAGCCTTATGAACTGATATGGAGCAACTCCATTAAACACAGTGGAATTTACTTCTGAGCAGATAAATGCAGGATCATGTCTGAGAGACATTTTACAAATGCCTAATTGCTGAGGTCTTGTAGATACAAGTTTAATGCAGTCAGGTTAAGCATCCATTGGCTAAAATTCCTCATTTCCTCCCAACTGATCTTCAAAGACCCCAAAATCCAAACATTGGTCTTAGGTGAATATGGACCTGAATTCTAGGCATTTCCCCTTCTAGGTAATGAGCAGATCCAGATGTGCCTAGCTTCACTGTAGGAGTTGCATTATGTACCTTTAGACCAGGGGTCTTCAAACTTGGCCCTTTTGTGACTTGTGGAGTTCAACTCCCAGAATTCCTCAGCCAGCGTGTCTGGCTGAGGAATTCTGGGAGTTGAAGTCCACAAGTCATAAAAAGGCCAAGTTTGAAGACCCCTGCTTTAGAAGACCAATGCTTCTCAACCTTGATAACTTTAAGATGCGTGGACTTCAACTCCCAGAATTCTCCAGCTAACATGCTGAAGCTGAGAAGCACTACTTTAGACTCAGGAGAGAGAATGATATAAAATAAAAGAAAAGGTTATATAAAGCTGGGGGGAAAACACAAGCCAATTTAGGCCAAGAGAAATTGTCCAAGAATATAGCTTGCATTCAAAGTGATAAATCTCCCTTATATATTCATACAAACTTTCCGATGTTCCGCCTCCCTTTTCACCCCATCTTGTTATCCTGACTATTTTAATCCAGTAGGTATAATTAAATCCTCATTCCTAACCAGACCAACACTCTTCTGGTCCTGAGGGACTTTACACACAAAAATACACAAACACATAAAGGAAGAAAAGTAGGGAGAAAATGTTTTTCCCAGCCTGGCAGTTCTGAGATGTGTTGGAATGCAAGGATGGCTGCACAGGGAAGCTTGCAGGGCTGTGACTTGAAGATTGTTGAGGTAGATATAGAAGGGAATCTTTGAAAAAAATAGTCAAAACCAATATATACAGGAAAAGGAAGGAGAGAAGAGCTAAAGATCAGAGGTTGAGGATCTCTGAGGCAGCGGGATTTGAAATAGAAGCAGAGGTCATGAGAGAGGTCAAAGGAAGGGGTCAAGGGCAAGGATATATGAGTCCTGGATAAAATGAGGATCAAAGAAGAATTAGGGTGGCAGTTTGACCCATCGTGAGGAACAGAATGAGCCAGGATTCATCAATAAGAGAAGAGAGCTGTAAGACTTGTGTTGGGAAAGTACAGATAGAAAAAACTATCAAGACAAAAGAACAATTGCAGAAAGGCCACTGAAGAGGACTGAAAGGACTATAATATGTAGTTGGTGGCTGGGTTATACAACCCACAACTTGGTCACTGAATTAATCCATTTTCTGGATTTGCACAATTCACCAAATCGTACTAACTAACATTAACTAAACAAGCTGAGTTTTCATAACACATTAAAAAAACCAAGAAAGATGTCTTGAATTAGGCTTAGCACATAGTGCAGTCTTTAGCTGCTTAGGCATGTTGGGTGTACCCAGCCAATGAGGATTAGCTGGAAACCCCCATGCTAGGAGCTTCAAGAGAAATCTGGTCAAGCACAGGAGAAACAAGGCAGTGGGAATGGGGGTGGGTGGGTCACAGAGGGACCTAGAACTTGGGCAGAGGTAGAGTAGCAGCGCTGCTGTGGATGGCTGCACAGAAGCAAACCAGCGCATTTCCTTAAGGCAGCGCCAAGGGCCGCACAATCAGCAAAGAGTGTGAGCCAGAGCAATGTTATTCCAGAGCCAACAAGAGAGCAATGCAGGGAAAGGGCATAGAAAAAATTGGCAACTCTTGGGAGGGGGAGAAGAACTGAAGAAGGAGCAGAAAAGGAGCCCTGAAAAGTGGCTCCACAAGGGGAAAATGTTGGAGGGGGAGGGAGGAAAGAGGAGGGAGGGAGAGGACAGGGAAGCTGAGAGATGAATGGGGAAATGGACAAAGGCAGTGGAAGGGCAGTGCAGGCTGAGCAGCATATTCTAAAGAGATGAAAAAAGGAAAAAGGAAAAGAGGAAGAGGAGAGGGGAAGCCAAAGAAAGAGAGAAGGACAGAAAATGGAGACAAATGAGAGGAATTGGATGCCTGGAGGGCTGAGTGAAGCAGGCAATGGAAGGAAAGGTGGGAAGAAGGGAAGATGTGCTCAGGCAAAAGATCTCTTTCACCTTGTTCCTCTACATACCTGCCTGTTAGGAGGAAGACCCCAGTGGTTTCTCTCTTCCCTGCAGGAAAGCACACCCTGAAGTGATTCCCACCAGCCACAATGAAGGAATTCAGAGCAGAGCCAAGAAGGGGTGAAAGAAGAACAGAAAAGAGGAAGGAGGCAGGGGAAATGAGGGAACCAGGCAATGGGGGCTGGGAAAATTGTTAGAAGATGGGGTGGGGGCAGGAAAGAGGCAGAAAATGGAAAAATGAAAAAGCAAGAAGTAAAAAGAGGGAGGAAGGAGGAAGTAAGGAAGAGAATAAATGAATGAATGATAAGATGGAAGGAAGGAAGGAAGGAAGGAAGGAAGGAAGGAAGGAAGGAAGGAAGGAAGGAAGGAAGGAAGGAAGGAAGGAAGGAAAAGATTGAATGGAAAAGGAGGAAGGGAAGAAATGAATGAAAAAACCGAATGGAAAAGAAGAAAGAAAGAAGGGGAGGAAATTAGTGAAAAGACTGAATGGAAAGAAGGAAGAAGGGGAAGGAGGGAAGAAAGGAAGGTAAAGGAGGAGACTGGAGGAAGGCGGCAAAAGTGAGAGATGAGGGGGCGTCGGAGGCGGAGGGAGAGCTGCAAAGGGACAGAGCTGCGCCAGCAATGGAGCGCAGCTGGCAGGATAGCGCGCAAGGAGGCTGCGAGGCTCCCCGTCGAGGCCACCAGCTTTCGGCAGAGGGGATCCTGAGTGGCATAGGGACCGGGGCGGGTGGGGGGAGGGGAAGGGCGCGAGGATTGAGACAGGGAGCACAGCAGAGTAGAGGGGGCCAGGCTGCCCCCTCTTCCAAAAAAAGACGGGGCGGTGGTGGCCGAGGGGTGCAGATGGTGCGTTGGGAGTGGGTGGATGGAGGGGACCGGCGGGATGAAGGGGGAGAAATCGGATTGTGGTCAGGGTGGCGGAGCAGCGTCCGCACTCACCTTCCCCGTCCCTTCCTTTTCTCTTTTGCAGAGCCGGGCGCTGAGCCGCGGGCTCCCTCCTCTCGCTTGCCCGCCCGCCCCGTCTAGAAAGAGCGGGAGTGGGAGCGGGAGGGAGGGAGGGAGGAGGAGGAAGAGGAGGAGGGGCCGTGATGACGCCTCGTCCCCTGATTTGACACCTGCCCGGCCTCGGGGGCGGCTCCCCCCGGCCCGGCCCGGCCCGCGCCCCCGATGCTGAGCTCAGTGTGCGTCTCCTCTTTCCGCGGGCGCAAGTCTGGGAACAAGCCGCCGTCCAAGTCATGTTTGAAAGGGGAGATGGGCCGGAACGAAGACAACGACAAGATCGTCATCAACGTGGGCGGCATCCGGCATGAGACGTACCGCAGCACCCTCAAGACCCTGCCGGGCACGCGGTTGTCCTGGCTCACCGAGCCGGACGCCTGCAGCAACTTCGACTACGACCCCAAAGCCGACGAGTTCTTCTTCGACCGGCACCCGCAGGTCTTCGCCTACGTGCTCAACTACTACCGCACCGGGAAGCTTCACTGTCCCGCCGACGTCTGCGGACCGCTCTTCGAGGAGGAGCTGGCCTTCTGGGGCATCGACGAGACCGACGTGGAAGCCTGCTGCTGGATGAACTACCGGCAGCACCGCGACGCCGAGGAAGCCCTGGACAGCTTCGAGGCCCCCGAGAGCCAGGACGATGAGGACAGCGGCGACCTCAAGCGCCTCTGCCTGCAGGAGGACGGGCGCAAGCTCGGCTGGTGGTCCAGCTGGCAGCCCAAGGTCTGGGCGCTCTTCGAAGACCCCTACTCCTCCAAGATGGCCCGGGTGAGTCGGAGGGGGGCGGGGCGTTAGGGTCCCCTCCAGATAGGTCGCCCTTAGAGGATCCTCTCCTCCCCACCGCCACTTCTAGTGTGCCTGCTTTGGGTGGTGGGGGGTGGTGGTGGAGGTGGGGGGGGGTGGAAAGGGAGCTGAATTCCAGCAAATCTGGAGAATGCCCTGCTAGGAAAGGGTCCTCCTTCCGCATGCCTGGTCTTTCCCCATCGGTATTTCCTCAGATTCCCTCCCCCAACCCCATTTAAGGGGAAAATAGACATAGAGTCGGTTCTTGGAACTGTTGCTATGAGCCTGACTCTTCCGTAATTCTATCAGTTTGTTTGCAAAGTAAATGAAGCAGGAGAGCAACCCCCTAGGATTCTGTGCTTATAAATGTACACCTTAGGCGAGACAATTGGGTGCAAGAGAGGCTCGGAGGAGGAGGAGGAGGAGGAGGAGGAGGAGGAGGAGGAGGAGGAGGAGGAGGAGGAGGAGACGGATGTGTTGGGGTTATCTTTGGTGCAGCACATTCTAGAAGGAAATGTAGCACATTCTAGAGGACTAGTGTCACAAAGAGGGACAAGCTTGAGTTGTGTAAAGGGTGGAAATCCTGTTCCTTCCTCCAAATATACGGTAATCTTAAATCGAATAAACTTAAGTCGAATAGCCCAAAAATGTCCATAGTTATAGCTCTCTAGGACAGCTTTCCCCCACCTGGTATGCTCCAGATGTGTTAAGATTGCAGGTGCCAGAATTGCATTGATGTGTTGACACCACAAAATCAACCCCAGAAGATTTTTTAGGTTGCAGTCCTAACACAATTGGAGGACACAAAGCTTGAGGAAGGTGCTGTAGAGTTTTCATGTAGGCAAGCATCAAACTCAAGTCCTGTTTTGTAATTTGGCATTGCATGTAAAGTGTACACTCTGCAACTAGCTCAGGTTCCAAAGTGAGCTGAAGAAATGGTCCATGAAAAAGGCAACAACTGTTGTTTGATTTTGTAATTGAATCTCGATTCTCTCTACAAGCAAGCTTTTCTGCTTGTGAATCCCGCCCCCTTCCCACAGCATCTTCTGTGCTTGTCCTTGAACCTTGAAATTGCACTCTTAGAAGAAGGTCTGTGTGTGTGGTTGGGGTGATGTGTCAGGAGAGGTATGAAAAAGACAGAGGGAGGTCTACTTGGGATAAACTCACTTTACCAGTAGGCATGCAGTGATTTGCTAACTTCTTTCAAATGCTGATTGAGCAGTAACAGACAAAATATGCTCTTAAAGATATAATCTATATATGCAGCACTTGATATGGATGAAAGGATGTGCCAGTTTGGAGGTATGAGTGGCACTGAATGTGGGGGGGGGGATGAAATCATTCTAGGAGGGGGAGAATGCACCAGCTGTATCTCATGCACAAATTTGGACAAATAACGTGGAAAGGAAATGCCCAGAAAGTAAGCAATGGATCAGGACAGGATGCTTAGGGCACTCTTTTTTCAATCTGGAAGCCTTCAGAGAAGTTGGACTACAATTCTCATGACCCCCCACACAGTTTCATGAACTGGCTGCTTGGGACAATGGGAACTGTAGTCTGAACACATCAGGGTTAGGTAATATCTGATAGTGAGAACCGAGCAGATACTATATCTACCAGGGCAAGCTAGAGCAAGAAGAAATGGATTTGGCAGTGAAAATTAAGCCAAAGCTCCTTGTCTCAAGGAAATAAGGTTGGAGCTTGAGGTTGGATGGTTGTGCCCTAGAGTGGAGAGAGAGAAGGTTGTCTGAGTTTGGGGGGGGGGGAGTGTGCTAAAGGCCAAGGGGGGGAAAGGGAGAAGGGGGGGAGGAAAAGCACTGAGAAGCACAGAGATAATATGAGGATTGTGGGAGGCAGCAGAAGTAGCTAGCTAAATATATGGTGGGGAGCGAAGACCCTAAGTTGAATGCCACAGGACATAAATGTGTGAATGAAAAGTAGTAATGTGCAACGGCAGGAGGGCCCTAATACGCATGCTCCAGAGTTATGACTAGCTTCTCAGTGTTAAGAGAGAATGCCTTGGTTCCCGGCAGGAGGTGCTGCTAGCCCGTTTACAAACTCTTTCCTCCTTGTTCCCACACTCGGCTCTCCTATCGGGTATACCTTCCCTTCTTAAAATCCTCCTGTCCCACACAAAAGTTTGGACCCCTCGCTCTTACATACCCGTGTAAATCCTTTCCCACAGCCGGGGCGAAGCTTTGGCATTCCTCAGCATTGCAGTTCTGGATTCACTGCTTTCCCCCCCTCCCCCGCCAAGCTGAAACAGTGTTCCTCAAAGTGACCCCCTCCATTTCCAAGCACTGCAGTTCAGAACTCCCGGCTCTGCCTACCCGCCGGCTGGCTGGCTTCCTTGCTTCCGCTCTCTATGCAGAGAAACCCTTTTCCTGGACCGAACAGTTTTGCACAGGGACTCAAGTTGCTACTGCTGACAAGGACCCTCTCCTTCCCGGTCCCCCTTTTCGTGTTATTTCTAGGATAGTATTAAAGCTTTGCTGCCTTCTGAATTGCAGAGACAGCAGGTTGGGGGGGGGAGGGGGCACCGCAGTGCAGTGTGGAAACCCCAGAGTTTGCAGTGCAAAGCAGGCATTTGGCAGCCTGTGGCAGCTTCCCCTCCCTCTTCCCCCACCTCCTTCCCTCCCAGGCTGTGGGTCTCAAAGCTGCAAGCACTGTCAGATATCCTCATTGATTTCCCCCCCCCCTCCTTCTTCCCCACACAGTTGGGAGTACAGCCAGGAAAAGTTGCAGTGGGAAGGAAGATGAAGAGAGAAAGCAGGAATTTTAGTACTGGAGTGTGTGTATGTGGGGGGGTACGTGGATGTGGATGGTAGGAGCCGAGATTATGAGCTGGTGCTGCATTTGGGCGGGCATCAAGTCAGGAGTTTCCATAAATGGAGAACAAGTTGGGGGGACTATAGATCACCCTCCTTTGTACAACATTGCCCCCCCCTCCCGTTGTACTTAAAAAAGATTTGACTTATAGTGTTGGTAGCCCCCACTCACTCAGCCAAGAAAAATAATGGGAATAAGATATGAATACCTACTGTGGAAGGAGACTTTTCATTTGCCTAGCCATATATATCTGCATGAAAAGCCTACAGAAAAAAGCTGCAGAGATTGTTTGAGTGGCCCATTTTGAGCATTTCTTCAGTCTTTCTCTCTCTCCCCCCCTCCCCTTCCCTGCACCAACTTTCTGTCATGGTAAAAAGAAAAAAGAAGAGAGTGGACTAGAAAGAGCAGGTAGACAACTAGCTAAAGGAGCAGAACAGAGATTAGGCAGATAGACCAAACTTTTCTGTAAAAGGTCTAACCAGTGCCACATTTCCTGAGTTTCCATCTACGAACCACGATGGATATATTACAGCAATGCACAGGCAGGCTGGAACTTCAAAACTGTATATTTGATAACACTTATTGGATACCCACATCTAACAGCTGGAATACTGAAAAGAAGCTGAGTGTGTACATGGAGAGAACTCCTAGGCAGCTCATAAAGACATGCATATCTGTAGATGGAGCCTTCATCCCCTCCAATTATCAGGTTTTTCACCTGTTTATGTTCTTTCTCTTTCTTTCTTTCTTTCTTTCTTTCCTTCCTTCTTTCCTTCCTTTTTTCTTTTTTTCTTTCTTTTCCTTCCTTCCTTCCTTCCATCGTCCTTCCCTTCCTTTCTTTTGGGGAGTGTTCAATTCTCAAACTTTTAAAATTCCTTTAAAGAATATAGACAAGTTATTATTTATATCATGCATGTCCCAGAACTACCTCAGTAAATATATACTTCCACTAGTGTAGGTAAGGGAATAGATTATAGAGCATATTATGCCATCTGAATTAATTCACAGGCTGTGCACTGCAAATATAAGCTTGTTACAGGAAAATAAATCCCATCATATTCAGAAGGATTTTATTCGGAGTAGAAAGTGGTTAGGGTTATCATCAAAGTTTTCTTCTTCAGAATATAAATCTTTGTTTTTATCAAATGAAAGCATACAAACAGAAAAAAAAATCTCATGGCTCCAGAGGTTGCATTTCCTTCATATTGTGGATGGCCAACTCAGTGCAGAATTGCATGGACTTCTCAAGTTTTCTTTTCTTGCAGGTTCCAGTTTAGTTTACTTCCCTTCTGAGGTAAAAAATGTATAGAAAATGTAACATAAGCGTAGCATACTCTTTAAAATAAACAGGAAATGTTAGGTGTATCCAAATAATAATAAAACAACTATGGCAAAAAAAATCAAAACAAAGATAGCAGCAATAGTAATAAGCACCTTTGATGCAATTTCAAAACATCTGGAGCACCACATGAACACCATCGACACTGACAAAATCACCATCAGTTGATTACATCCTGTGACAATATCTTTAATATTATTAAACAACAACATCTGCCTATCCCAGGTTCTTGGGAAGGACTGAATAGGTGGACAAAAATACCAAATGCATCTAGCTGGCTCTGCTACCAACCCTAATAATAATAATATATTAAATTTGTATTCCACGAGATTTCAGTAATTTACAGGGTTGTATGTACTCTTACTTCTATGGTGATCTTACTATATACCCTTCCCCATATCCATTAAGTATAGCTGCTGGGTCCTCAAACATTGCTAACTGCTTTTCTACAGCAGAACCAGGTTCTTAGTTATGAACGATACATAATTTGAGAGTTCAGTTCACCATCAAAATATTCATAAGGTCATCTGTATCATTTCAATAACAAAAAATTTTTGGGGATACCCTGAAGGCATTAAAGAAAGGGAGTTGGTTAGTTGATGGTGGTAAAAAATCAGAGGCTGGTCACATCTTAACAGATAAGTTGTGAATATAATGACAGTGAATGAAGAAAACAACACAAATTAAATAGCCTTAAGAGTCGTTTAGTATCTTCCATTAACTCAATTTATTGTGATCATCTTTAAGAGATTCCTTTGGTGTTTTCATGATATGGTATGTGCCATTTTTAAACCTTATTAGGAATATACACAAGAAA